AGCGCGGGGCGCGCGTGTGCGGGCCCGGTTGTGACGCCCCGTTTTGCAGGATCACCGTGGCGATGGCTGAGGGCGACGGCGGCGCGGGCGGCCTGCCCGTAGGGGTGTCCCGGGAGGACGAGGAGCCCACGTCTCCGGAGGGCGGTGGGGAACCGAGGGAAGTGGAGCCCGCGGCTCTGACGCGGAAGAGGCCCGAGACGAAGCCCCCCGGCGAGCCCGCTCTGGTGGAAGAGCCCCCCGGCCCAGCCCAGAAGGTATCTTTCTGCAGAGACGCCTCAAACCCCGCAGGGTCCCGGTGACGCTGGGCAGCGATTCGGAGGCCTTTCCCCCCTCGCTTTTCTGTGGACTGGCGATGGGACAGCTCTCCACCGAGGAAGGCTGAAAATGCATTGGGTTAAATGTCATTGAACCCAGCAAACGAGCCTCTGGGTTTGTCTCTGCCTTTCCCCCCACTCATGCCCAGCAAAAAGCCGTGCTTTGATATTTGCACGGCGCAGTTTAGATAGCTGGAAATTGGCTTCTTTCCCTGAGGGCAGGTTGCAGCGAATGCTTGTTATGCGGGAATGGAGAAGGACCTCATCCGACAGCTCATTTCCCCTTTCTTTCCTTCCAAACAAGCCCCAAACCCATCTCCCTTTGCAACGTGGCTCCTCGGTGTTCAGCTCAGAGTGAAATGATCTATCCGTATAAATTAAATCTCTTATTCCGGAGGCCAGATCGTTACAGTCTGCAACAGAAGAAGGCAGATGGAAACGATGGTCTGAAAGCTTTTGAAGTTGGACTAGGCAGTGATGCATAAACCCTAAAGCAAAGATGATGATGATGATGATAACAAAAGGTTATAAAAAATTAAAAAAAAATCAAATTCATCTTCCACAGTGAAGCACAGGTTCAACTAGTTTGCTCATATTCCTATAAGGTTCACTTGAGGTGCAGATGAGGAAGGTTTTGTGGTATGAGCATCAGCACTGCCACAAAAATCCCATTCTCTGTTTTTTCTCTTCCACTTCTTATTGCACGCACAGCCTCACCAACATTTCTGCTCCCCACCAACTTGGAGCGGATGCCCTTTTAGGGAGTAGGATGAAACTTGTCGAGGAAAAGGGGGCATCTGTCTCCTGCTTTGGTTTACAGTTTTCTCTAAGCATCTGGTGCAATAAGAAAGGATACAGGTCCAGAGGTCAGCTATAGGACCGACAAAACGTTTGCTTATCTTGGCCTTGTGCAGGGATTGGGGGGACTATAACTGAGCAGGTCAGAGACGACTATGCTCTGGGCTCTCGCTTGCAATGAAGTTCACTCTTTTGGCTACATTTAAAAGAGCTTAATAAAGGCACGGCTCAAAGGATGCTCATTCATTATTCTGCCTCTCTCCTTTGAATAAAGGTCTCTGAATCCACGGAGCCATCTCAGACCGGGTGGGGATACTGGGGCAGCTGGGGAAAGTCGCTTCTCTCCACTGCCTCAGCTACAGTTGCTACTGTAGGTAAGGGCTCCTGGCGTTGTGCTTCCTTGGGACCTGTGGATGGGGGTAAAATCACACCCTGACTCTCACAGATGCTTTTGGCTTCCACTCTCTTGTTTGCTTTATAGAAAATGGGATTTTGGTTTTAGAAGCAGGTGGTGGCAAAAATCAAGTGCAAAAACAGCACAGGGGAAAAGTCAATATGCCTCAAATGGCAGAACAGGAGGCAGGGAGATCCGTGCGGCAGAGTTATTTTCAGGCCTATAACGAACAGTGCTGAGTTGAAGTGCTAAGGCTGATAAACTTTTATGCTCCCGTGAATCTGAGGCAACATAAAAGTGAAGCATGGACTCATGTCTGCGAGCAAGCCGGGCCGTGCTAGCTCTTAGTACTGTGTGTGGAGGTGAAAATCAGGATACGGTCCTCAGTGACCAATTTTGTTTCCAGTTTATTTGCTGCTTTCCTGGTAGGG